GGCATTCTTCAAAGCACCTTAAAAGGCAACTAAACCAGATTCTCCACTTGATTGCCCATGGGTGGGATCTTCACTGCCTGAAGTCAGGTGTCCCATCTATGCTGTTTACAAGGGATCTTTCTATAACCAAAAGGCAACACATTCTTCTTAACATGTGATGATTCTCTTCTGCCTGCATTGACTAAGACTAATTGACACATATGGCGACATCTATATTATTAAACTAAACAAGACCAGGAGCAGGACTCGCTAACGTCAGTGGCAAGTGGCAAGACGAGGCTCCCATTCAGACATCAAGAACCTCTTCCTTTGCAGAACAGAGCAGACATACTGCTGTGAGTGTTCCCTGGCACATGCCCTCCTCTGAACCATGGCCAGTGGACCTGACTGGGATTTAAACTCTATCAGGGGGCAATTGCACGTTAGGCATTGTTGTTCAGTTTAATAAATAGATGTAGAGTAGGTTAAAGCAGTCTAACTAATTTTTGGATGGAGAAAATTAGGCCTGGTCAGCTCCATCTCACGCTGATTCCTCTTCTTAACTGAGGACAACATCTTATTTCATGTGTACTGGATCATGATGGTTGGCCCTAGGAATTTTCTTGTGGTCAGGACGCAAGTTGCAGCAGAGACAATAGTACTTCCTACGCCTCCCAATTCCCACTGCTGCCATACTTGTACCAGAAGCACGCAGTTTTCAGTTGCTTATGGATGAAATCACTTATTTACTTAGTTTTTCTATTCACTACTGAATCTGAACTTCAGGAAGGAAGAGGACTTGGAGGATCTGACCTGAATTTTGCATTTCTTCTTGAATATATTCTATGGCTTGATCAGTTCAAAACTATAGGTAAACTTGTGTAGGCAGTAAACAGAAAAACACACAGTAAAAAACAAATATCACTTGCAGATCCGGCTCCTGCGTTTAAAGTAAAAATGTACTATCCCTATATAGCAGTACTACTGCAACACAAGATTTTAAAATTTAAATCCAGAAGGTGAAAAAATAACAATGGTGTGCTTAACACTGTCACATGAAACTTAGATTAAATATGTCAGTTTAGGAACATCATCAATGAAACAGGTAACACTGTGAAGAACACTTTAACATGGCAATTGTATGACTATACAAAGTAAAGTTACATCTTGTTCAGTGTTTTTAGTGTCATCAGGCTTTTTTAACGTCTTCAAAAAACATGAAGGCAACGCTGTTTTCTAAAATCTGCCCAAACTACATACGATTTTTATTACCTTCTCAGTGAGAATGCATGAAATATGAAACAGCATATCTGTAGACTTTCCTACATCCCAAGAATCCTGATTAGCAGGTTGTCTCTTAGTGTCAGCTGTACTTCTGACACTATTTTTCATCTTTCATGTATAATTTAGGAAGAAAACAGTGTGTTTCACATGATGTATGTGATGTTGTTGTAAACACTAGAGTTCTCTCAAATATGATGCATGTGGCAAGGGAAAGGTAAAAAAAAAGCACCTTGGGCTGACTGTAAGTGCTGTAGAGGAAGGACACCAGAGTGGGTGAAGGAGTCTCGATATACATTCTGAAGTATGAAATTCAGACATAAGAATGCAGACTGTGCTAAAACATTCTATGTAAATCTGTCTCTGAGTTGGGATCTCAAAAAAGAAGTTTTAACAGGAAAACAATTTTTAAAAAAAAGGATTTTAAATAGCAACATGAAGTTCAACATAATTTAAAATGTCAATATGAATCTTTATAGCAGTGCAACAGCTGTAACAATAGAACAGCAGTTGCAATGTTTAGTCAGACAAATACTTTACAATTACAATCTACTAGCAAGGAGAGAAATTCATCTGACATGTGAAGCAGGTTCTCATGGTTTCGTGATACTGGCTAGGCAGAATTTGATTCTGCTGTGGGAATTAAATAGAACTGAGTAATTATTGAGAATTCTTGCCTATTTCATAAATATATTTAGCATAACAAATAATGGGGCCACATAACTTTGTTTAGTCCTTGTAGTTTTCCTTCAACTTTTCAGTTTCTCTCTTACCTATTATTACTTTAAATGTCTCAGAAGTTTTTATACTGTCCATATAAACACTACCAGAACCACACAGATAAATTTATTTACTTACTGAAGGCAATTAGCACACAATTAGGATACAGCTCCTTGTCACAAAAAATGTTTCCTATTCATTGAAACACTGCTTTCCATAGTCATCAAAACGTATAAAAACAAAACTGGCCTTCACTTTTCAGATCCCTGTCATCACGACAATGTGAGTTTAATCCTGTTCCCATTCAGGTCAGTTCAGAGAAAGAAATGACTTGGACTTCAATGGCAGCAATAAACTGTTTATGAACGTCAGCATAGCACATGCCTTTTTCCTAACACTTCAAATGCCTTAGCCTATCGAGTGATTTGAATGCTACTTACGTGTTTTATCTTTGCATCAAAGGTATTTCTGCTGAAGCTGGCTCTGCAAGTGAGGTGCTTCACTATCTGTTTGCAGGCTTCAGTCTTCCCAGAACCACTTTCTCCACTGCAAGATGACAGGCAAGAAAGAGAGGGGCGAATCATGGTTATTTTCACATTTGATAAGCTATTTATAGTCTCTGCTAGCTCTGTTTGAATGGATTTATAATATCTCAGTCAAACTTTCATTTCAAATAACAGAAGGTTTATGGGTGGCAAATAATAAAGAACAGAACATAGAAGACTGGCTGTCTGTGTTCCTGAGGTTTGTCAGAGCTGTCAGGCTATATTGTCTTGTACCACAAACCAAGCCAATCAAATCTAAAGCTTTCAAGACATTTTGAAGGTATTTATAGCAAAGATTCTTTTGCAGATGGGAAAATATTAATGTGATAATGATGGGAGTCAGAAGGAAAGGCAAGCGTAGAATACAATAGGAAGAAGGGAAAGGAAATAGGAAAGGAAAGGAAGGAAAACAAAAAAGATGACTGATTTTACAATCTGCAGTGCAAGACACTCTGACTTCAGTGATCCTGTTTCACTTAATTTCTTGTTCATGATGTGGAATAAATATTCCAAAGAATGAGAATCTCTAAGGGGGAAAATGAGCAAAGAAAACAAAGTAACAGGCAATATGAACAGTGAAGGTGGGAGTAATAGAAAAGTGGAGGGTTGGAGGAAGGAAGCAAGCTTGATGCACTGTAAAGATGGAGAAGGAAGGAAAAGAAACAGAAGAGACATATTATAAAATTAGTGAAGCCTGACTAAGAAATTAATGAAAGAGTTTCTTATTTGAATTATAAGAAGCTGTTTTCTTTATAGACAACTGTACCAAACAAAAAGTAATTTGATGCTCCTCCTTCCTTTATTTGCTTGACCAAAATTAAAAGGCTGTTTCTACAACAGCCGGTTAGATTTTTCACAAGTATGATGGCCATGCTGGCTGGTCAGTCTGTTATCTGTATAGTTCAGTTTCTAAAAACAAAGACAGCGTAACACAGTATCTGTCTGACCATGGCTTTATCTATTCAAATCTCACTTCAAAGGAGAAGTCAATTAAATAGGGGAAGAAACAAAAGTGGGAAGGGCAAAAAGATCTCTGCACTAATTTAATTTCATTCAACTCTCACAGGACATACATGCATCTGTATGTCCTAGGCGACAAGACAGATGTTTCATTACTATAGCAGTATCAAATTGCTTTTATCTATGTTGCTCATGTTTCTATAATGAACTGGAGTCTGACCCTGGCTTCAAACTCCTGTTGGCATCAGTGGGAGTTTTGTGGTTCAAGACTGCAAAGGTTTGCAACCTTGATATATGTTATGCAAAGACCTCAAATAACAGGTCACAAAGTCGTATCTGAACCAGGTAGTAGAATGAAAGAAACCATGTGAAGTCAAGGAGGTCACTGTCAAAGCTAATATGAAACTACTATTGTCATAGAATTGACAAGGTGCTCCATAAATGCAGTAACTCTTTCTCAGATCTTCAGCTTCTGACTTTCTGAAAGAGTTTCAAAAGTCAGATGACACTTCATGTCACCCTCTAAAATCTGCACCCTCTAAAATCTCTGCACTCTTAACAGTGACGTCACTCTCCAAAGGCTAATTGTACCATGCTGTCTGTGTTCTTAAGGAGAAGCATTAGCCTTCTGCCTTTATAATGGTAGTGTCGAAATCCCATGTTCCTTTGCCTGTTATCACTAACAAGAACAGAAAGAAGCGAAACAGGGCATTACTCCTGTGATACTCCTCCCCTATAGACATTTCATAATCTTGTAAACTACAGATCTTATGCCTGTATTACCAGAAAGTCAGCAACCTTACAGACAGAGACAAGTCTATCTCTCACCACCCTTCCTACAGCCGTCCAGTCCACTGGCACCCGTGTGTCATGATGATGAAATGATTTTGTCCCTCCACAACGGACTTAACACAAAATCATGGCTGCAACCTGTTATCCGTGTATCACAAGTTACCAATAAGTTTAGCAACAGTGTCTCTTTCTCTGAAGCTGAAACAGCTTTGAAGTTTAGTACAGTTACAGTTACAGATGATGCCACTAAGCAGAAATGGTCATGGATGGTTTAATATCAGATTTGAAATAATTCACAGTTTGTAACAACTCACAGCTTGCCCATTGTATACTGGCCTTTATATCCAGCAGATGAATATTTGTATCATTTTGAGGGCTGAAGAAGATTTACAATTTATCAAATTGTAGTATTTAATTATTTTTTTTGCTTAGGCCCAACCTCAACTGCCAAAAAATTATTTCTTTAACAGAAGGCTTTTTTAGGATTAACAGGGTGGGGTTACTTTTAATTTTTAAAAAAATCTTTCTTACAGCTGGAGAAAGTAGGGAGGACACAATAAATAAGAAATGCTAAAATAACATTTGATGTGCCTTTGATTGTTTTCGAGCATTGCAAAGCAGGCATGCAAATTATAATTAAAAATAGAAAAATGCCCTTTTAAACAAAGGAACTAGAGTGTTTATCATGAGTTCCACCACTTAACAATTAATTTTTTTATTTTTTTTAATAAAGCTATGTTTAAAAACTACGACCCAGGACAACACAGGACCATGCAAACATGCACAAAGTTGAGAGTTTTTGTCCCTCCTTGAGTATTTCTTCTCGAGATTGCTGTTTCCTAAACATTGTAGTGATACAGATACAATGATTTGACACTCCCAGCTCAACTGTTAGTTTTACAGTGATTGACATTTGTTCCACAGTGACAAAGGAACTTGTCAGCTAAAGTGGTTGCTAGAGTTTAGTTCAGGGGTCAGAATTCACCAGAATTTGGTTGCTGAAAGAGAGAAACAATGTCACGTAGTCGTTCTATGCATTCCAAAGGGTTTTGTTCACTCCTAGTGAAATACATATTGAAGCACTGAGAAAGAAAAGCTATGGTAAAGTTTTAATTGTTGATATTACTGTTTGGAACATTTGAGGCAATAAATAATTTTAACAATGATTAAGTAATTGGGCACCTTGAAGCAGATCTTACTTATTCCGTTTCCTTTGAGATTGAGTAAAATTTCTTGTAATGTCTCCACTGTCCAAAATATATTTGCTTTAATAATTAAATTCTCCTTAGAGAATAATTCCCCTTCTCTGTTTAAATACTTGTTAGATCACAATATTTTTTTTAAATGTAATTTACACTATAATTGCTGGTTTCCTATAACTTTTATTTGGACTGCCTTATCAAGGTGGAAGATAAGTTAGCACTGCAGCAGAGAAACATTCTTCTGCACTAAAATTTCCTTAGAAGTGAAAGCAAAGACGGCTTATTTCACAGATAAGTAAGGTTAAATTACAGACATTGTACTCCAAGAGAAAGGAAAATGGACAGAGAATTTGAAACCCCATGCTCACCACAGACTTTAGGCAAGCTCTACTAAGGTTTCTCATTTTTTCCTCCTTTGGCTTTCTAGCTTTCCTATATAACTACTGGATGGAGTGCCTGCTTCCTAGTATTTATTTATTAATATTTTGTAAATAAAACCTTAATTAAAACTCTGACCTCTTCAAGTTAAAATAATATGAATAATAAGAGAGAAATAAACTGTTTTCAATAACACATTCAAAGCTGAAATTGTTAGGAAAAAACCTCAATTTGAAGTGTGAAAATATGAAGATGTGTGAAGCAAATGACACGAGATGTTCTACAACCAGGAGAACTTAAGAAGCTACATCCTGTAAATCCACTGCACCATCTCACTCTTCTGCTATCCTGTGGGCCTATAAATCATCTGTTTAGGGGAAAATCTGACAAAATATAAAACAAGTAAGGAGGAACATACCTGTCACTTCAGATCATACAAGTGACAGGGTTTTATTGTCCGTGCTTCATTCTCAATTCTAACCAATGGTACCACGTTCAGAAGCGCCGGAATAGTTAGCAAAACAAACAAAACTACTCCTGTAGTATTTGAACTATAATCGGAAACTATAATCAGAAAGGCTGGAAAATCTCTGACAGATTTGTTCATATAAGATTTTCATCAGTTTTAAAGGAAGGTTTAGATCAGCATAGATATGTGGCTGTTTTGTATGAAGTTCTGAAACCAATTTCTTTTTTGTACTACCTTAAAATGCGAGCTTTACTACTCCAAACTCCATTTTGATAGTAAGATATATCCAGGGAAGACAGAGTAAACTTGAAAACTTTTGGGGGGACAGAGTAACAACTTTCTTCTCAATCTGCAGAGTACTTAAGCAAGACACTGGGTTTTGCTCCATGACTGTTGTATCCTCAGTAGTGATATCTGTAACTAAACAACCCATCATGTTAACTGGAAAATTTATTTCTGAAGTAAACTAAATACAAAAGTATCTTTCTAAATAATTGTTTATTATAAATAGGATGTCCAAATCCACTACTGTGCTGCAGTAGCCCATTGCACTTATTATATACTGAGTTATAATTAAAAAAAATAAGATAATTAACTTGAACAGAATGCCCATGGTGATGCTAAACTGAAGAATTCAAAATCTTTCCAGGCATTCTATTTTAAAAGATGAAGATTTCTCTCTGTTTCAGAGCATTTGGCTTAAAAACGCGATTTATACCTCAACAAAACCATCGGATGTTGTCATTCCTGGCTGCTAACATACACAAAATTATAACACCTCATTTAATATATTCATTATGACTTTTTGATTCACCAAATTAGCCATCGGCATCCTGTACACCATCAGCTTGCTTGACTAAGGATACTTAGCTTTTAACAAGCCTAGAAATTATTCCTATGCTTCCTAGACAGCTCTTTAGTTATCTTCTCTGCACTCAATGCATTTTTACATCCTGAGCAGCATAAGCAAAAGGAAGCTAATTATGACAAGTTCATCTATGGGCTATTTAAGAGTGTAACATAATTTTATTTTATTCTGTAGTTTCCATATAAAGTTTATACAAAGCCAGCTTTTGGTGTTAAGCACACATAAGTGATGGTGGCCTGCTATAAGCTAAAACTAAGTGTGAAAAGCTAGTAGTAAAATCTTCAACACTTGGGCAAAATGTTTTTCTGCTGTGAAACCCTCCATTTCAGTGA